CAGCACCTTAAAATGTACTTTTTAGATCCCGGTCATCCTGCGTAGATCCTGAATTTTTTTTTTTTTTTTTTTCGCTGGCAGTTATTTTGAAAAATTTATACCCTGTCTGCTGTATCGAAATCTCGCCGCATAACCGCCGTCTGGTATTCCAGTACAGATAACAGCAAGCGATAAGAAACAAAATTATGGTCTTTGTCGCATAGGTACAGTCTGCTTTCTTTTGGCATATAGCCGAGCTAAAATATAAATACAGTGAATGCTTGCTGTGGTAGCCCGACTAGCTATTAATTCTTTCTCATATCCCTTACTGTCATCGACGCATCTAGCAAGCTTTTTATAGTTTGCCTAGCCGAAGCTGCATGGTTGGATTGTCCGTTTCTCTTTCTCGCTACTGGACAGAAATGCAAACCAGACACATCGTCTTCATGTGCTTTGCTTCTGCTCACCTATTCTACGATCTTCTCTAACGATAAACACCAGCGGTAGCAAACAAGCGAGAAAATAACTGTTTTGAAGTTTTTCAAGCGCATCGGAGTTCGGAACAAACAGGTACCCAAAACCAAACTAAGTGACAATGCTGTGCACTATGCTGCGACCAGGAAATGAAGCGTTTGTACCAAAGTTTCAACAAACCAAATAAAGAGGGCGGTCAAGATGTGCAATTGTAACTATTTCTCCACCAACGTAATAATTTAAGCGATTCAGATCGGTCGTAAAGATGAAGCAGTCCCCAATCCATATCGCTGTTTTAACACTTTCTTGCACTTCCCCTGAAAATGAAACCAATCATAAATGTGTTCTTGCTTTGGGCTCCGAAAATGAACATACCAACAACATCGAAAGCTTCCTCAATTCCATCGATATCTGCGCCGGTAGCGTTTTCCACTAATTCCTTATTATATTTTAAGATGTAAAATGTATCGTCGCCAGCAATCGCTACCTAGAACATGCTTGCATGCGGTATCCCCAACCAAACTCATTACATTTATGCGTTTTCCCG